TTTTTTTTATAAAGAATAGAATTAGAATAGAGAGTGTTAGAGTTAGAGGGTCAAATAAAGATGGAAGAGATGTGTTTTTAGCCGATTCTTGAAGATGGCTAAGGACTCAGCTGCTCGGATTGAGTTGGGCAGGTCATTCCACCAGGAGTAAACATTTAATTTAAAAGTCAGAGAAAGTGATTTTGTGCTTCTTTGGGATGGCACAATAAATCGATGTTCACTTGCAGAACGCAAGCTTCTAGAGGGCACATAAGTCTGAAGTAATGAATTTAGGTAAAGGGGTGCAGAGCCAGTGGTGGTTTTGTAGGCAAACATTAATGCCTTGAATTGTATGCGAGCAGCTATCGGTAGCCAGTGCAAACTGATAAACAGAGGTGTGATGTGCATTCTTTTTGGCTCGTTAAAAATGTATCTTGCTGCCACGTTCTGGATTAATTGTAAAGGTTTGATAGAACTGGCTGGAAGACCTGCCAAGAGAGCATTGCAATAGTTCAGCCTGGACAGAACAAGTGCTTGAACAAGGAGTTGTGAAGCATGTTCCGAAAGAAAGGGCTTGATCTTCTTGATGTTGAATAAAGCAAATCTGCAGGACCGGGCAGTTTTAGCAATGTGGTCTGAGAAATATAATAATAATATATTTCATAAGCACTGATTTCCTAACACCTTAATCATAACAAAATGTTTTTAGAAGTCACGTATTAAAAAATGATTATTTGTTTAAAATTAAAGCAAAGTGTGCATCATGATGCTGGGATCTTCTCTGCAGAAAGCTCTTGAAAGCTTTTGAAAATAGAAATTAAAATAAATGCTGTAAAATACACTAAAATCCTGACAAAGACTGCAAGACACTTTTGACTTAATTGTGACCAGATCTCAAAATGTATCAGGTTAAAATGCTCAAGTGTGTAGAAGTACTTTTTGGACCAGTTCAAATTAAATGCATGTTGCATGCCCACAGTATTTTCTATGTAAACATGCAAATCTTGCTTTTAGTGGGCCAGAATGCACCGGTACGGCCATGTTCTATTAACAGTACTGGAAATTCTTCTTCTGAGTGAATTTGTGACAACGACCATGTTAACTCTTTGCACAAAGACCCAACCTTTGAAAACAACAAATCCAAAAGCCAATCCAATGCGAACTTTTAAGTATAAGCTAGACGAATACAAAAGCTTGAGCAGTGTAGTGCAATTGTATGTATGTGTGTAGTTGAGACAAGTCAAGTAGTGTTCAGCAGTTGTTCAGCTTTAGCAAAATAAGCTATTTTTCATTCTTGTAGTACATGAATAAATTGTCCTGTATAGCCTACCAGAGGGGATGAGTTCAAAGAGGTAGCGTGCAGGGTAGGTGGGGTCTCTGATAATTTGGAAGCTCTGTCCCAACATCTGGACAGGTAAATGTCGACTGCTGGAAACTGTGTACAGATGATGTTTTGGGCCATTTTGATAACACATTGCAGTGCCCTCTGTTCCTTTCTCATGCAGCTGGCGTTCCAGTATGTAATGCAGTATGGCAGTATACGCTCAAATGCACATCATTAAAAGTTCACAAGTTACTGTGGCAATCTTGCTTTCTTCAGTCTTCTCAAGAAGTAAAGGTGTTGTTGTGATTTTCCAATGACAGTGGAGGTGTGTGTAGCCCAAGGAAAGTCCTTTGTAATGTTAAACGCCAAGAATTTAAAACTGGGCACTCTCTCCACAGCCTCGCCATTTATGAGCACAACACTCAGATCAGTTCTCCTTGTCTTCCTAATATCCACCACTATCTCCTTTGTCTTCCTGGTGTTAAGGATGAGATTATTGGTGGAACACCAGGCTTTCAGATTTTGTACCTTGTTCGGAGTCCAGCTGCAGATTTTCCCAGTCTGTGGAGTTTGGATGCCAGGACTTTGGAAATGACCATATTAGCCTTTAAAGGGTTAGTTCACACAAAAATGAAAATTCTGTCATTAATTACTCACCCTCATGTCGTTTCAATCCCGTAAGACCTTCTTTCATCTTCGGAACACAAATTAAGATATTTTTGATGGAATCTGAGAGCTGTCTGACCCTGCATAGACAGCAATGCAACTGAAATGTTCTCAAGTCCAGAAACGTAGCAAGGAGATCTGTAAAATAATCCATGTGACATCAGTGGTTCATCCGCAATTATACGAAGCTACGAAAATACTTTTTGTGTGCAAAAGAAAAAAAAACGACTTTATTCAACAATTCGTCTTCTCCGCATCACCCTGGTGCCATTTTGGAGAATATCCGCTGGACGTAAATAATGTCAAGTCAAGTCACCTTTATTTATATAGCGCTTTTAACAATACCGATTGTGTCAAAGCAACTGTACAGAATTAATTAGGAAAATATTGTGTCATTAATGCAAAATGACAATAGTAAACACTCAATTTTTAAAGGCATTATTGAATTCAGTGATGTCATCATCCAGCTCAGTTCAGTTTAAATAGTATCTGTGCAATCAAGTCGACGATATCGCTGGAAATCAAGTGTCACCAACTAAGCAAGCCAGCGGCAAGGAACCAAAACTCCATCGGTGACAGAATGGAGAAAAAAACCTTGGGAGAAACCAGGCTCAGTCGGGGGGCCAGTTCTCCTCTGGCCAGACGAAATCAGCAGTTCAATTCCAGGCTGCAGCAAAGTCACATTGAGCAGAGGACTCGACTGCTTCTGTGGTTTTGTCCCGGTGGCAGTCTAGGAGACAAGGTCTTCACTCGGGATCTGTCTCTGGGGCTCATCTAGTTGACAAGGTCTCCGCTGACATTCAGGGCTGTAGAGGTCATCTCTAGGTGCTGATCCACCATCTGGGCTGGATACAGACTGGATCCGGGTGACTGCAGTGACCATCTGATCTGCAGTGATACAGACTGGATCTGGTGGCTACGATGACCTCGGAATAAGAAAGAAACAGACTAATATTAGCGTAGATGCCATTCTTCTAACGATGTAGCAAGTACATCGGGTGTTATGGGAAGTGTTCCCGGTTCCGGTTGTCCTAATTAATGCAGCCTAACAATCCTTTAACGGATTTGAATATTAGAAATGTGTTAGTGTGTTATGTGTAAGCCAGGTTAAAGAGATGTGTTTTTGATCTAGATTTAAACTGACAGAGTGTGTCTGTCTCCCAAACAATGTTAGGTAGATTATTCCAGAGTTTGGGCTCTAAATAGGAAAAGAATCTGCCACCCGCAGTTGATTTTGATATTCTAGGTATTATCAAATTGCCAGAGTGTTGAGAACACAGTGGACGTGGAGGACTATAATGCTCATTCAAATACTGAGGTGCTAAACCATTCAGGGATTTATAAGTAAAAAGCAAGATTTTAAAATCTATACGATGTTTAATAGGGAGCCAGTGCAGTGTTGACAGAACCGGGCTAATATGGTCATACTTCCTGGTTCTTATAAGAACTCTAGCTGCTGCATTTTGGACCATCTGGAGTTTGTTTCTTAAGCATGCAGAACAACCACCCAATAAAGCATTACAATAATCTAACCTTGAGGTCATGAACGTGTGAATTAACATTTCTGCATTAGACATTGAGAGCATAGGTCGTAATTTAGATATATTTTTGAGATGGAAAAAAGCAGTTTTACAAATGTTAGAAACGTCCTCTTCATTCACTGCTATGAATTGATGGCGGTCAGATAAGTACGATTTGAACCATGCTAATGCACTTCCATTAATGCCAACAAAGTTTTCTAGTTTTCTGGTCAATAGTGTCGAACGCAGCGCTAAGATTCAGTAGCCCTAATAGAGATATACAACCACGATCAGATGATAAGAGCAGGGCATTTGTAACTCTAATAGGAGCTTAGATGGAATAGGATCTAACTTACATGTTGTTGGTTTAGATGATTTAACAAGTTTATATAACTCTTCCTCTCCTATAGTAAAGAATGTGTGGAATTGTTCCTCAGGGGATCTATAGCACACTATCTGATGTGATACTGTAGCTGACGGCTGCATGGTTACAATTTTATCTCTAATAGTATCGATCTTGGAAGTAAAGTAGTTCATAAAGTCATTAATGCTGTGCTGTTGGGAAATGTCAACACCTGTTGATGCTTTATTTTTCGTTAATTTAGCCACTGTATTGAATAAATACCTGGGGTTATGTTTGTTTTCTTCTAAAAGAGATGAAAAGTAATCAGATCTAGCAGTTTTTAATGTTTTTCTGTAGGATAGGGTACTTTTCCGCCAAGCAATACGAAATACCTCTAGTTTTGTTTTCCTCCAGCTGCACTCAGTTTTCCGTGCTGCTCTCTTTAGTTTGCGAGTGTGCTCATACCACGGTGTCAGACTGTGTTCCTTAATCTTCCTTAAGCGTAAAAGGAGCAACCATATCTAAAATGCTAGAAAAGAGAGTCCATAGTTTGTTACATCATCAAGTTGTTCTGAGGTATTGGAAATGCTAAGGAATTGAGATAAATCAGGAAGATTACTTACAAAGCAGTCTTTTGTGGTAGAAGTGATGGTTCTACCATACTTGTAACAAGGAGTAGAATTTACAGTTTTAGCTATATGAAGGTTGCACAAGACTAGATAATGATCTGAGATATCATCGCTTGGCTGCATAATTTCAACACCATCAACATCAATTCCATGTGTTAAATCTAGAGTATGATTTTGACAATGAGTAGGTCCTGATACGTGTTGTCTAACCCCAAAAGAGTCCAGAATGTCTATGAATGCTGATCCCAATGCATCTTTTTCATTATCAACATGGATATTAAAATCACCAACAATTAAAACTTTATCTGCAGCCAGTACTAACTCGGATATAAAATCAGCAAATTCTAATAAAGTCTGTATGGTGCCCTGGTGGCCTGTATAAAGTAGCTAGTACAAACATCACAGGGGATTTATCATTAACACTTGTTTTTCTGGATAATGTTATATGAAGCGCCATTACTTCAAACGAGTTATATTTGAAGCCCACCCTCTGAGAAATACTAAAAATATTGTTATAAATTGTAGCATCACCTCCAAAGTGACAACGTATGCTGTTCTGTGTCAGCTGCGTCACACGGATACGCTGTTTCCATTCAGATCAGATCACAACAACGTAGGAAACAGATCTGGTGTGACGCAGCTGACACAGAACAGCATACGCTGTTTACGTCCAGCGGATATTCTCCAAAATGGCACCAGGGGGATGCGGAGGAAACTAATTGTTGAATAAAGTCTTTTTTTTTTTTTTTTTCGCACAAATGTATTCTCATAGCTTCATATAATTGCGGTTAAACCACTGATGTCACATGGATTATTTTACAGATCTCCTTGCTACGTTTCTGTACTTGGGAACATTTCAGTTGCGTTGCTGTCTATGCAGGGTCAGACAGCTCTCAGATTCCATCAAAAATATCTTAATTTGTGTTCTGAAGATGAACGAAGGTTTACGGGTTTGAAACGACATGAGGGTGAGTAATTAATGACAGAATTTTCATTTTTGGGTGAACTATCCCTTCAAGCAAAAATCAGCAAGCAGCATTCTGGCATGCAAGTTCAACCTATCCATGTGCCCCAAGGCACTGATCTATTCATCCATTAAGCAAACTGATACCGGTCCTAAGTGACCGGTGATGGTACTTGAAATTAGTGTAAAAATCAACTTCTTAAAGCACTTTGATATTAGAGGCACGAGTGCAATAGTTTGATAATAATTCAAGCAAGACGCACTTTGTTGTTTGGGGATAAGCATAATTGTTATAGTTTTAAGACAAACAGGCACAACAGAGCTGGTCAAGGGAGAGGTTGAAAAGGCTGGTAAAAACCTCTGTCAGCAGGTCAGTGCATACCCAAAGTACATACTCTGGAACACCATTGGGGCCAGACACTTACCTCACATTTACACTGTACTAAACCCTTCTGATCTTATCAATGTTCCGTGTCAATGGTTGATAATGTCAAGTGGCAGTGCAGGCCTGGCAACAAGCCCTACTGTTGATTTCTCTGTCAAATCAGGCAAAGAACATGTTAAAGGGGCTTTTCAGACCGATGAGCTTTGTAAAAATCGACGCGTTTCAGAAAGGCGGGGCATATAACAAGGAGAAACAATAATGTACAGTATGTGGAAAATGTGTTTATGCGGTTTAAGGTTCAAAAAACACATTTCATTACACCAAATACACAAAATAATGTTCTTTTTAGCAACATCATATGACCCCTTTAAATTCCTCTGCCATACAGACATTGACATTTATGGATATTATAATTCCTTTTGTAGTCTGTGACAGTTTGTATGCCTTGTTGCCACATACATTGGGGATTGTTGTTATTGAAGCTGTCCTCAGTCCTGTGTTTATAATTACATTAACCATGGGTCAATTGTGAAATTGTTCAAGTAAAATTGGAAATTTTTTGTGATAGCTCTCTCCTGATATTTCAGTTCAATGCAGAACAGTGAGCGTGGGAAGAAGATCGGGAACGCTGTGATGTCGACTAGCAGAAGTGTTGTGCAAACAGGAAAGGCTGTCGGTAAGATGCACCATAGATTAAATTGTTCACTTGTTAATTCTTTCTTATTTAACATTAAGATTATGTCACATACAATCTGTTCCAGCAGTACAAAAGAGCCACAGCCTGATAGTGCAGTGCTTTGTGAAAGTATTCCTACCCTACATTTTATTGTCATATTTTGCCATATGCTAATACATTGAAACTAAAGGCTAAAATGCTTTGAATTATTTTTTCCATGTCAGTCAATGTTCCGCGGCCCATAATGACAAATCAAAAACACTTGTGAAAAAAATTATAGCAATTTATTAGAAGCAAAACTGAAATAATTACATAGCATTACTCATTACTGCAGCCTTTTTGGGAACACTGCAACAGGCTTTGCCCATCTGGATTTGGTGATTTTGTGCCATTCTTCACTGTAAATCCTCTCAAGCTGTGTCAGGTTGGGTGGGGATCCACTGTGGGCAGTCATTTACAGGTTTCTCCAGGGATGTTTTACTGGGTTCACATCCAGGCTCTAGCTGAGCCATTCAAAGCCATTCTTGCATTGTCTTGATAGTGAAAACACATGAAAGACACAGAGGAGAGGCTCCCATCTGGCCACTCTGCCCTCATGCCAATCACATTGCAGTGATGGTTGTCCTTCTGTGAGTTTCTCCCATCTCCACATATGATCTGGAGTTAAACCAGAATGACCATCAGGTTCTTGGTCACCTCTCTTACCAAATCCGTTTTTCCCAGATTTTTCAGTCCAACCAACTCTAGGAAGAGTCCTGGTTGTTCAAAACTTCTTCCATTAAGAATTATAGAGGCCATTGTGTTCTTGTGAACCTTCAATGCAGTGAATTTTTTTTAAGCCTTCCCAGATCTGTGCCTGTATCAGAGCCTGTATTGCTTTTGGGAAATGCACCCGATTAGAATATTTAAGGAATTGTCCCAAGCACTGTTCAGATAAACGTCTTTAGAGCTTTGCAGGTTGTTATTTTGACCTCATGGCTTAGTTTTAGCTCTGATATGCATTTTCAGCTGTTAGATCTATATAAACAAATGTGACATTTTCAAATCATGTTCAATTAATTGAACTTGTTCAATGTTAATTCCAATCAAAGTTTAGAAATATCTAAAATATCTCAAAGAACCAGAGCAATTGTAATGTTCTTTAAGTAAATTTCAACTATAGAAAACAAGATTTGTTTTTAATTAACAGTTATCACAGATCTGTTTTTAGTTAGTCATATTATTGCTTTGCTTTGTCTTAAAAAATAAAAATATACATTATGGTTACATATGAATGAATGCTTTTACAAGGCACTGTGGTTTTGTCATGTGTGCCCTGAAGTAAGTTACTCAAACATCCTGTGTTATTGGTTGAATGTTTTGTCCACACCGGGTTTTATAGCAATTATTTCTTGCTTGGCTTTCAATATTTTATTTTAGGTCAGTCAGTAGGTGGAGCTTTGACCGTCGCTAAATCAGCCATGTCGTCCTGGTTCTCCATGCTGGCTCAGCCGACCGCAGCAGTCAGTGCATCTCCACAGTCTGCAGATTGACATCTGCTGTACTAAATAATGAAGAAAATATGCAGACATTGCACACATCTCTGTTGTTATATGAAAATGAAGAATGTTAGAAAGCAAGAGAGAATGAAAAAATGTTAAATAAAAAGAGTTTTAGAACAGCTAGCTGTATTTTAGGTTTAGTACTTGTAGTAGTTTCATGTAAAAAAAAAAAAAAAAAAACTGGAATAATGAAAGCATTTTCTTCTTCCTGTGACAAAATCCACTTATTTCAGGTGTTCAGTTTTGGATTGTTTAGGTTTTGGGTCTCACCTTTGTAAATCTTGAAGCCTGTCTATTCTGAGATCAGGTTACCAAATGTTTTTATAGGTATTTTCCTACAAATAGCACACAGATAATACCTAATGGCGTATGAAAAAACATAATATTATGTCACATTCAGTCTATGTTGCTTGTTGAAGTGGTCACTGTCCACGTATCTTACAAATAAAAACAGTGAAACTAAAGAGTTTGTTCATAAATTGGACCTATGTTGTGATCAAATCAAGAACTATAACACAATAAAGAGAATGAAATTTAACAAATGTTTTACAAATCTTTGTATTTTTTCAAAGTATTAATGAAAATGATCCAGGAGTAAATGTTTACAGGCCTCTCATTTATGTGGTTCTTGAGTTCATCACTTGGAGGTGTAATGTGACATACCCAGGTAAGTTTATGGATAATTTAATCTCTGGAGCAGATGGTTTCAGTGTTACTTTACTTCAGAGGTCAGAGTGCATGCATGCCCTATTGATGAGCCTCCAGTATGATTGTGAACAAATATAGTGATGGTCGAGGAGCGCTAAAACTCGTGGATTCGGATGGCGATTTATTCACAGTGGAGAAGCCAGATCCGGGAACGCGCTGCTCACGTGGCCAGTCACATAATTGTCTGCTGTAAATAAAATGAATTTTATTAACAAACGTATTATTATTATTGTGTAAAATGTATTTTAAAATACTTTGGTGTAGTACTCTGCAATGAGACTCAGACTCAGCTAAGAACTTGCCACTAGTTTAACAGCTCTAACTAATGTTACAATATAACAGGATCCAATTTTGTGCTTGTCAACACTATTGATCCGAGGTGCGTTTCCCAAAAGCATTGTTAGCTAAATATGGTGGTCAGTTCCATTGAACTCTATTGGTAACGACAGAACTTGCAACCATAGTTGCTTTTGGGAAATGCACCCCTGATTAGAATATTTAAGGAATTGTCCCAAGCACTGTTCAGATAAACGTCTTTTATGAACTGTACATGATAAATGTGCCATCTTACTTTCATCATGTCATGAATTTGTACATGCCATTTTAATCATGTGCAGTATGAGTGATAGGATTAAATGATTGTGTAAAATTTAATTATGTCTGTCTGTAAACTAGTAAGTTCAACCTTTAGTCCAAACATTTTTGCTCTCACATATTGTATTACCATCTCTTTATCAAATAATCAGTCAAGCATCAGATTTTAAAGGGGTCATATGATGCGATTTCAATTTTTCCTTTCTCTTTGGAGTGTTACAAGCTCTTGGTGCATAAAGAAGATCTGTAAAGTTGCAAAGACTAAAGTCTCAAATCCAAAGAGATATTCTTTATAAAAGTTAAGAGTCAGCCACGCCTACCTAAAACAGCTCGTTCTAACACGCCCCCACATATCTACCTCACTATGTGGGAAGATTTGCATAACGCCGCCCAAATGTTCACGCAAATAAAGAAGGCATAACTTTTATTCTCGCTGTAGTATTGTAAACTATGGCGCCATGTCGTAAAGACGCTGTGTTGCTTCGTTGTGAAAGCGAAACTACTTTGTTTGGCCTTCCAAAAGAGGACGATATCTGCTTTGTCATGCCTGGCGCTGATCCGTGCTGGTTGCTGAGGAAATACTACAACTTTGCGCTGTGGATCGCCGGATCGGCTTTCACCGTGGACGGGAGTCCAGCCCGGACTTGTCACATGTCTTTCTGGACGCTCCTTCGTCAAAATCGCCGGCCGCACCGTTCTCAAGCCCACCGCCTCTGCTCACTCTAACCCTCCCGCCGTTCCTCACGCTAGCCCCCCGGCCTCTGCTCACTGTAGGCCGCCGTGTGTGACACAGTTCTGTTGTGAAAGCGAAACTACCTTGTTTGGCCTTCCAAAAATGGACACGACTAGAAATCAGTGGTTAAGTTGTATTTACAACACTGTTCCAGAACACGTCAACCCAAATATTCGGATGTGTCCATCTCGTCGCTCCGGTTGGACAGGGCATCATCACAATATGGTGAGGGGCGTAACATTTCCATCTCACGCTTGAGGTATTCGGCCAATCACAACTCACTGGATAGCTGGCCAATCACAGCACACCTCGCTTTTTCAGATGAAGCGAGATGACGAGATGAGCTTTGTAAAAATCGACGCGTTTCAGAAAGGCAAGGCATAGAGGAGAAACAATAATGTACAGTATGTGGGAAATAATGTTTTTTGAACCTTAAACCACATAAACACATTTCATTACACCAAATACACAAAATAATGTTCTTTTTAGCATTATCATATGACCCCTTTAAAAGCTAGAAGAATTCTAGTTCATGTGTGACACTGGGTGTCAAACTCAATTCCTGAAGGGCCATAGCCCTGCAGAGTTTTGTTCCAACCCTGCTCCAACACCCATACCATGTAGTTTTTGAACAAGCCTGAAGGACTTGATTAGTTGGATCAGGTGTGTTTAATTAGGGTTGAATCTAAACTCTGCAGGGCTCCGGCCTTCCAGGAATTGAGTTTGACACCCCTACACTGAAACTCAAGTCAAGATGTGTTATTAATTAATGACTGGCTAAAGGTACCACATAAACATACACATCCAAAACCCCTCATTGGCTAAGCTGGACATAGGTCAATTTGATGGCATACAGCAATTATCAGCAGGCTCTAAGGAGGTGACACTAATTGGCCAGACCACATTTCCATGCTAACTAGCCAAACATTCACCTCCGGGATTTAGTACATTTAAAAGATCTTTTAGGAATACTATGCAGAATAGTATCATGTAGGATTTCAAACATGTCCACACACTTATGGTATGAGATTGTTTTTCATCTACATTTCAGTTTAACCATTTAAAATTCATTATTGATGTGCTCATTGAAATTATTTTATGCTCTACGTATGTTTTAAAAACTTTATAGTAGTTAAAATAATACTTTAGACAATTATAAATGTACAGGATGCATGTCAGATCAGACAAAAATATATTTTCCAAGTATGACATTAATGTAATTAAATTTTGTTGACAGACATCATTTATTTTCTTTAAAGTGATGCACTTCAGTAAATGGACTTCATTATACAGTATACTGTGTTTCCTGAATTGAATCCTTCAGAAAGTGTCCTGATCTTCAAAACTTTCCATCAGACAATGTAAAGATTTCCTGCTGTTGGTCAACGATTTTTTATTTGGTCTTGCCACATAATTATAAGAAAAAATGCCTTTTTTTTGAGAAACACCACTCCCTGACAATCCTTTATATGTAGCTGCCAAAGTATTTAAAGAGTCTGAATACATATGCAAACAAGAGATGGAAGTTGTTTATTTTTATTACATTTGCAAACCATGTTAAATATGATTCAACTGCACTCCAGTAAAACTGAGGCACATAGTATGAAACCTTTCTACATTCTTTTTTCCCCCCATACAAATAAGTTACGCAACGTATTTGCCATCCATGTAATCAGATATGAAATCAGATTAATCAACTTCTACCGTTTTAAAATTGTTTGATGGAGGCAGGCGTGCGTTCATATCTGTCAAGCAACTGTGCATATATAATCTCTTATAATGCAGCAATCAATTTTTAGAACAACAGACTTTATAAATACTTCACTAATAAATAGGTAATTACATACGGTCTATTTTAAAACTGCCAAAAGCTCAGCCACATCTGGAGGAAATGCTGGCAAGTTATCAGCTGTCAAGCTGTTAGCAATCAAAGTCTGGGCCCAATATACGGAAATATTTATAACCGGTTCATGCAAACTTTTTTATTTTTTTTATTGTCTCTCTGGCAAGAAATATACTATGCAAGGGCTTTTGAAATGGTTAACCCAGGGTCACTCTGAACCCCAGGTAAACGGAATCCTGTGTTACCTTTCACTGCTCAAAATTTACCCAGGATGAACCATTTTTAAGATGACATTTCACACTATACATTCCTAAACCCTCGGCTAACATTCTTATTTGCATATTTGCTGTGTCAGTGTCATTTATAGGACAAAAGCAGCAAACATCCCGTTTACATGCATTGTGTATCCTCAATAGGCCAAACTGCCGACTGTACTATCAAGTTTTTCCTGAATGGACTTCTGACCATAAAGGTAAGAATAAAACGGTCTCTTCACTCCAATTCACATTTTTTCTAACACTATTGACGTTTTCCCTGAAACAAATGCTGAAACTGTTTATACAATGCAAATTGTTTCCGTGACTGTCCAAAGCACATGCATATGAGGTTGTCTGTTGCTAAGCATCTAGCCTCAACATTTTAACACTGGCACACATATACATTTGGCCCCGCAATGCAGGATTAACACCGCAAAAGTGGTGCTAACCCTGCTCCAGAGCAAAGATTCATAACCCCGGGTAAAAAAGCACTTCTAAATTACAAGGGTGAAACATACCTTTATGTTTAGAATAACGATAACCCAGGGATAAGAACAGTGTGAAAAGCCCTACAGTCACCACAAATGCTACACATGCTTGAGTTAACACATTTTTGTGTTGAGAAAAAAAAAATGTCAGAGTGGCATTTTTTCCCTCCATTTCATTCATGGTAATGCAAAAGTTTTGCAAAGGTCTTGATGAGAAATTTTTATCAATTAAGCATATTTACAACTGTTGTACTTGTTGGACCACCCTCATCTAAATGACCCAAGCAACAGAAAGAGTCTCAATATTATTTTATAACAAGTTATTACAAATAATAGTATGAAATGATGAAAACCAAAAAGGAGGGTTCAGTTTGGCAGGAAAGAACAACTTTGTACACACTATTGCACAAATACAGCAGCAAATTATGATTTCCCCCCCCCCAGTAAGATAACCATAATATTAGAACAAACATTATGATCCAGGGCAACAAAGCATTAAGGGGAATTTGAAGATGCTTCATGGTGACTCAAGAGTAAAGCTTGTTTTATTTATCTTT